TTTGATTCAATGAGTGTATACTTTCGCTATAGTATCAGACCAAATATGAAACGTACTTCCGATTTGACCGGAAGTGCATCCAATTTCTTCATTTCAAATACAAAGTATAATTCAAAGGAAGGAAGGAATGCTCGAAGTCATCTCCACAAAGTTTAATGGTGTTGTTACTAAAGGGTCATATTTCGGTCTTATAAAAAACCATCCGCACAGCCTAATTAAAAGTTCTACAACACAAAATAAAGGTTGATGTGAAAGAATTACCTAATTTGAGGTTGACTCACTTGGAGTTGAAAAAATTTTTGATGCTTCTAATTGTGGAATTGTTGTCAATGCCCAGTCGAGAAATCAAATTATTAATGAAAAAAACTGGTTCTCAATAAATGAAGGGCCCCGTGCCCTGAGAGCGCTTACCATTATTTTCATTTTGGTATATGAAATTTCTATGAAAACATATTTCCATTTGCAATCTGGGACGTATTTGCTGGGTAAGACACGTGTAACTAGCGCCCTCTATGAGAGTCAGATATGAGAAGAAATTCATGCGATGTGTCAGCTTTCAAACCATATCCACACACAATTTCATTACAATGTTGCCAATAGTGTGAATAAAAACATTTTTGCAACACTTGTATCTTGAAAACGGATGGTAACGGCATGTTTGTTTTACTGAGCAACCCCAACTTATTTTGCAGTGTTTAACCTACCCTAGCGAGGGGGTCAGATTTTCTTAAACATCCGTATATCACAATCATACTTTCAATCCACAATCATATTATCGCGACACCATGTATATCCAGGGTATATTTTCACTAGTTTTATTATATATTTTGTAGAAATAGAAATAGAACGAAAACTCACTCGTAGGACGGTGAAGAAAACATGTGTTAAGTTTCCACTTAAATAAATTAATTAATTATTTAGGGAACTTCTATTTTCGTTTAGGTAATAGTAATTTTCCTAACAAGTGCGGAAAGTGATTCTTTCCCGCACGCGACTGCCGTTGACACGGTAAGCAGTCGAGTGCGGGAAAGACACTTTCCGCATGAGTTAGGAACAATATTCTTTCTACAAGCGTTGGAAATTGATTGATTCGTTCAATTAATTATTCAAGCAAATAGGAACAACTAACAAGAGATATATATTCTCTATCTACTAATTATTAGTAATAGCTATTGTGAACTTACAGTTTGACGCATTATGTTGGTTCATTGTGGAAGCGAGTAGGCACATAAGGAGTTTGGTCACTAGGTTTCAGACACTTCTATGAAATGAGCCAAAAATACCTATTCTTCATTCGGTATTTTAATTTCTTTATTGTTGCACCATTCAATAAAACGCGTATATAGCTTCTCATACCTTTCTTAAGACTTCGTTGGTGATAACGCATCTGTATCGAATCCCTATAGCTAGAAGTTTTTGATCACATTGTGGCATTTCCACTGAATCGAAAATGACAGTAACGCTGTGTCTGTCACTTCGACAATTTCAAACTTAATTGAGGTTTGATTGGCATGACAACAATAATCGTTTCCCGTCACATCAATCCAAATCTATAGGGGGATTTTTATAATAATCAATTTTTATTTCTCAATATCTCTCAATTTTTACAATAAATAGTGCAATTTGATGGATGATTCTAAACTTACTTACTTAATACTGCAACAAACAAACTAACTTAAACTTTTATATTCCACTTATATTATTAGCGATTTTATCATATCTTTGTTTTCCCGCACTAGAGAAATATTGAGAAATAAAAATTGATTATTATAAAAATCCCCCTATAGATTTGGATTGATCTAACATTGATCTGACGGGAAACGATTATTGATGTTGTCATGCTAATCAAATCTCAAATGAGTTTGAAATTGTCGAAGTGATAGACACAGCGTTACCGTCATTTTCGATTCAGTGGGAATGCCACAATGTGATCAAAAACTTCTAGCTATAGGTATTTGATACAGATGCGTTATCACCAACGAAGTCTCAAGAAAGGAATGAGAAGCTATACACGCGTTTTATTGAATGGTGCAACAATAAAGAAATGAAAATACCGAATGAAGAATAGGTATTTTTGGCTCATTTCATAGAAGTGTCTAGAACCTAGAGACCAAACTCCTAATGGGCCTGCTGGCTTCCGCAATGAACCAACATAATGCGTCAAACTGTAAGTTCACAATAGCTATTACTAATGATTGCTCTTTGCTCGAATAAGTAATTGAACGATTCAATCAATTTCCTACGCTTGTAGAAAAAATATTGTTCCTAACTCTTGCGGAAAGTGTCTTTCCCGCACTCGACTGCTTGCCCGAACTCCGCTTCGCGTCGTTCGTGTCAACGGCAGTCGCGTGCGGGAAAGAATCACCTTTCGCACTTGTTAGGAAAATTACTATTCCTTAACCTAGAATCATCCGAGAAGCAATACCGTTTCGTTGCCCTAAACAGCTCGAAATGAGTGATAAACAGTAACGTTTTTTGATCGAGGTCTAAAAAACCTCGCCGAGCAAAGCAGGACCCACGAAAAACTCTGCACAACCAGTCTTGCTAGAACTCCACTCGAGATTGTTCACGATATACGTCGATAGTGATTTCAGCGACGAATTTTCTATTTTAATTGTTTGATGGAAAAAATGAACGGGTTCATATAGGAAGTTTACGCCCATTTGTGAGTGCCTCCTGAATTGGATTAACCCATGCCACTAACCTAGTCCAGAAAGGGGCCCCCATAGAATCGCTACAGGTATCCAGCTACCAGGTCATCATCACCAACTCTCAAGAAGTTTAGGTAAGCTGTCTATAGGCTCGATCTTTGAAGTTCAATATAATCTTAACCCCACCAGATTGCCTCTAGGTATGATTATAAACCGCGTTTACCGCTTTTAACGCGTCTTTGGTGATACATAATTTTTTTCACTACTGAGTAGAGTTTTCGAAGTAGAAAAAGTACAATATGGAAAATCTAACTGACATATTTCCGTTATTGTGAGGCTTCCGGTTTTTCCGAAAGTGACATCATCTTTGTTATTTTCAATGGCACACCTAGGCACACCCTATATTTCACAATATTTTTTGAATACCTCTCATGATTCTGATACAAACTAACTAACTAAAATGAACGCAGTTTTTGAGGTATTCGGGATTTTCTAGAAAAAGTGACATATGAAACATACGAACATTTTCATATGAAACTCAATTCTTAGTGCTATGCAGTGACTGGATCATGAATATTGAAAAATGTTGTGAATTACATGGTGTTCTATTGAAAATCACAAAGTTGACGTCACTCTTGGAAAATTAGGAAGCTCTACAAAAGCTCTACGAAATTATTTGGGATTTTCCATGTTTTCTTGACCGTCCCTACTAATTTTCAGAATCGGGCTAGGTACTTTTGGTTCTCCGCGTATATAGATCGCGTTTACTTATGAAGATATATGTACATAAAAAACAAAGTATTCCTATTACACTGTACCGATAATATCTGAAAGGTAGGTACCTATATGACACATTAATATGCATTGACTATGATCGGTCTATGCAAGTAGTAGATATATGGTCTACCTACGCAAACATTGATGCGCAAACAATCTGCTGTTCATCAACTCTACGAGTCTGCACGTTCAATCAGTTCATCGAATTCTACAACATACTAATATTTTACAAATTTCACCAGGAGAAGGCTATATTCCGAATTCAACTGGTCAGTACTGTCAGTGTATCTACTGACTCTGCTGAAAATCTGTGATCCGAAATATAAAATAAAGAATTAAGTGATATAATTTGAAACACGTTTTCATGGTTTTCATCAGTATAATCAGCAACAGTTGATCAGCTGGTGAAATTTGAATATTATTCGAAGTGTCGATTATTTTAATAACAGTCATTTTCTTACATTGATAATCATATCATCGAATTATTATTAATAAGACACGACTTAATGTATAAAAACAATGGAAATAAATTTGACATTCCTTCCCCCTCTAAAATAATGACAGTTCACTGAGTTCACTGAAGGCACTCTACCTCCTGTCCCTATCCTCCCTAGGAACGCACGATGTTCTTTGAACATTATAGGGATTCCCTTTCGTGCGCTCCAATCGATAAAAAAAAAAACAATGTGGAGTCGAAATATTTGGAGTGAATAGTGTGTTTGCTCATAAGTATCTGAATTATCTGTCACTTTCAGTAGTTTCAGTGATTCTTTCATTTCGGAAAAAAAATCAGCAGATTCAGTACTGTCTGTTGAATTCTGAATATGGCCCATGTTCCGAATTCAACTGTCGGCAGTGTCAGTAGTGCCAATGCCACTGCTGAAATTAAGCTGTTCCGAAATAGTTCAGTTTTCACAGTAAGATTACTTGTGCTGAAATTCGGAACATATTCTACAGCAGTAAGCTGTCACTATATCCACTTCAGATATTTACAAATAAAAAACAAGATGATGCGTACATGTACAAACCTAATCCTAACCTGTAATGTTATTTTAAAAACTGTTTTCAGCTATAGTGAATTTCGCAGTTCTTACTCTATTTGGTCGAGTTCAAAGAGAATTAGTAAATAACCTATTACCAAACGCAGACATTTTGGATCGTGGCATCCGTTGCACATATGATCAACTCGATGATTTTGTAGAGGCCCGGTTGTGACCTGTTCACGTTTGTTATAAGTACAGAAACTCGCAGTGAAGATGAAATGATTTAAGAATGATTACCTATCTGATTATCTAATTTTTTTTTCAGTTGCTCTTTTATAATTTCCCCTGCTATAAACATATATGTTTCCTGGGAATAATAAAGATTATAACTTATAAAATATAAACGAAACGTGTGGTCTGAAAGATTTCTGCTGGGGACTCCAAAAAGTAATTCAGTTAGTTACAGCACATATCGATATCTGCTACCTCACGGTATGAATTCGTATATGATCCTGATGATCATCTCTCAGAGATCTCGCAGAGATATCTCTGTTACTTGAATTGTATAGGGAATAAAATGAATCGGTGACTTGACAACATTTTTTATTATTTATTAATACGAATTGAGTTTAGTGGTGATCAAAACTCTGATAGTCTGATCGAAAGCAGAACAAACAGATAATCCCAATTTATCAACACACCAGTCGAATGCAGTTATTGGTTGGTCTGATAGTGTACAGTTCTGCAACAGTGATATATCTCCTACTTTACCATACGGAACTCCATCAGTATCAACCTCAACTCTCTTATCAGGATAGTTACTGAAAATAATAAAGGTATGTGAATAATCAATGATGGTAACAAGGTGGCAACAATTGAAATACAGAGTAAGTCAGGACAGGACTATAACCAGCCATAAATTAATGTCAGATCAACTGCTACAGCACCCACACGTCTTCTTTGGCGTTATTACTCAGGAGATTGGTACGGTCTCCGCATGTTTTTCTTCGAGTTTCCTTGTGCTTTGATTCCGAGGATCCTTCGCATTGAATGGACAAATGCGTAACTTATTCATCGAACATATCGTCACCTACGAAACCTTAATTCAACAACTGTACTAGAGCTATTGCCTTGAAACAATCAGCCTACCATCGCTAGCGCAAAAGCGCTAACCTATCGCTACTATAGGCGATTCATGCTAAGGAGTACTCCCTCTACCGTTGTCTAATATAACTAACGTATGGGCCATTGATTGCTTTGTTTACATTAGTTTGCGTGTATTTTGTATGAGAAGTAGTTGTATTTCAATTGTCTATAATTTTGTTTGAGAACTTCTATAAACGTTTAAAAACATGAGTCATCATTGTTGTGTACCTCATTGTTCATCTTGAGCAAAAAAATCCCGAGTATAGCTTTCATTCCTTTCAAAAATCAGGACAGTCTAAATTTGTATTTGATACTAATAATTTGGGAAACAAGAAAGTGATCGGTAGGAGAAAGGTGTGGATTCATAACTTGAAGATTGGGAAAAGTGTAAAGTGTCTGAACATAATGAGATATTGTTCTTTACACTTCACTGAAAATTCACTCATACCTATAGGTATATTTTCATATGTATGTCTATTATGAATATAATACCTACTTCTTGAGGTGGTGGTAAAAGAACAAACAAATTTCAAACTGATTATATCTTTACTCATGAACAGTAGAATTTTCAAACAGTAAAGAATGTTATCAATCAGGGTTTCGATGATTATGTTGTAAAAAGGCAAGTAAAAACTGTTTACCTAAATTCACCTTCCAAAGAACACTTTATTCCCAAAAAGTTTGCTGGATTTTGTTTTAAAAATATCATGCACTATCAGGGGAATATCCCAGCTATATATTCGAATTGGAAATCAACATCCCATACAGGTTTTCATGAGAATTCTTGTTCAATAATGATAAAAATGATGTTGGTAGTGGTAGGAGTTCAACTAGAGGTAGGGAGGTTATCTAATGTTGAACAGAGATAATATAGTCCTCAATCAAAACACAGTAGACCGCTGGAAAATACAAAGTTCGAAAATAGACAAATAACAAAGCTGGACGTTTGAAAACTCAAAACGAAATGAACATAAACACCATTACCAAACAATGTAAACAATCCGCCAATGGCCCATAGAGTAGTACCGACATTCGCCGTTCTGGCGCTACGATCTTAATCTCAGTCGCCTATAACAGAATATGTTGAAGCCAGGAATAACAGCAATAACAATGCCAAAATAAGATCCTTCGTTTCGATCCTTCGCTAAAGCAGTCGAGAGATTTCACCAGTACTTTATTCCCATCACTCTCCAAAGTCGATGATACATTAGCAACAACATTGCAAGAGAAAGCCAACATTTTTGCAGAGATGTTCGCCGCGAACTCCTCCTCAGATTCACAGGGAAGGATGCCGCCAGATATTCCTTTCGTCAACGCACTATCAATAGCATATACTGCTTGGTCTCAAAATAAATAAGGCTCACGTTTTCGAAAGAATTCCACTTATTATTCTCAAATAGTGTGCACCAGAATTGACACCGATTCTCTGCAAGTTATTTACCATCTCATACAAGCGATGGAGGAAGCCATCAACATTGAGCTCATCAAACATTTGGAAAACTCGGGTATCATTAAGGATGAATAATATTGCTTTCTCCATCAAACATGATTGACTTGCCTGCGTTACCCATAGGTATATGACAAGCTTCATTAGAAAAACATGGTGAATCACTAGCTGTGGACTTAGGTATATCGAAAGCATTCGACCGAGTTTTGTACCAAGAACTTCTCCGCAAACTACCTTCATACGGCTTACCACCTCAGCTATGCCTCCTTTTATCGAGTTTTGTTCCAGACAGATCGCTCAATGTTGTGGTGGACGCAGTGTCTGATAGCATAGCCACTAATTCCAGCGTTCCGCAAACAACAATCTTGGCACCAATATTGTACCTTATCCATATAAACGATCTATTGGAATGGATCATCCGCCTTATCCACAGCTTTGCAGATGATAGTACTCTTCGTATTGCGTTCTCTTCCTGAATTTCCTTTTGCTTTCAGGAAACTGAGAACTGAAAACAAAAGCCGGTCAACGCTCTCAATGAAGATTTTGCTGAGATTGAAGCCTGGTTGTATTCAACGCCACCAAAACTCAAGCCTGTATTTTCTCTAGAAATGCAGGTATATCAATGTCTGGTGCAACCATTCCCACAAAGTCCACTATATTTATGCTCGTCATTTTCATGAGGTATACTCTTTAATGGATAAAAATATGTCACATTCATCGCGGAAGCTGCTTCACAAAAAGTCAGATTTTCATTCCGTTCGAAAAACTACTTTATACCTCAATAGCTTCTCATCATCAATAAAGCACAGATACGGTCTGTTTTAGAATACACATATAGGATTCATTCATTCATTCCATCACTATAGCAACACCAGTCAGATGTACTCGACATGCCCAGTTATAACACATCGTTTCGTTGTCAACGTCGAAATATGTCTAACAACTCTGTACCAAAACTCGTTTATCTATAGAGAGCGACACAGCTATTAAATTCTTTGTCAAAGAAAATATTCCCAAGAACTTATAATCTTTCCTAGGTACGCCCCAACAAACACGACATAGCTGGCGATTCAATGGCCCATTGATTTAATCCATGGAATACTAATGGCACTATTTTTTGCTGTTGAAAAAGTACATGTTCTTTGCTATTTCAATCACATAATATATAAGTATGTTGCACTTTCATTGTGTTGGTCAATAGTATATTTCCTATTGATTTATGCGAATCAAGATTACACTATTATACCGGGTGTAACGAGATCATGGTACACCAAACCATTTTCTCCAACTTAATTTGGTGATTAATCAAGAAATTCGACATTTTCGGACAGGATCCAATTTTTTTTAGGATCAAACATGTCGATATGAGTACATCAGACTCGATCAGAATAGTCATGGCACACTCAAATGGAAAATCAGAAATGAAATTAAAATCAATATTGAAGTTTGAAATGTTAAGGTAATAAGGTATCATCGGATTCATCGAATAATGCAGAATTCGAAAATGCAATGATATACAGGGTGTTGCATTTGAAAATCAAAAGTTATTATCATTTCCGGTGAAACCGGAAGTGGCACATGAAACTTATTGATGTAAAAACATGACGTTTATCAAGTTAACTGATCATTCCAAATTTCAATCACATCTCCAAAACTAAAGAAGAAAAAGAGGGTGTACCATGATCCTGTTACACCCGGTATTTCAAATAATTAGTATTAGTCAGAGAGGTGAGTGGCAAAAAATGCAACAGTTTTCTAATGGCTGACATATTTTAATAGCCTGCCGTCAGTCAGCCAGTTTCGTTAGCGATTAGCGCAGGAGCGGCATCAAAGTTGTCGAAAAACATCAATGTCGCGATAGTTTTTTAAAATCTGAGTAGTAAATCCACCCAGAAATGATGTGGATACCGTCAGCCTTCTAGATATGTTAACGGGACGCGTTAGCAACGCGTCAAGGTCACAAAAAATATGTTCGGTGAAACTGTTTTCTAACATGTTAAATTTGGTTGACGAGTTGTCAATAATAGGAAGGATAAAAAACATAGCCCAAATTTTTATTTAACATACGCCGTCAGCAGTCCATGAAAGAGAAATTGCGCGCTCTAGTACATGAAGAATTTTTATTCACAAAAAGTTCGGGAAGAAAATGAATGGTTCCTTGATAGTCCACCTGAGTTTGCGACCTCGTGGGGTTGCCGCTTTAGCGGTGAGCGGATGAATAGCACCGTTGGGGTAGGTGCTATTGGAAAACATTTCGGATGAAAGATGTAGACAACAAAATTGTGCTCAACTATGGTATCCGCACTTTTTGTCTCCGATCAATAGTTTTCGCTCTACGGCCCGCCAAAGTTGAGGGGTAGTTTGCACATGCCCCATTTGATACACTTCATCGTATACAGTGTGTGCAAGATACAGATGTCTATCATAGGGTCAAATTGATGTTGGTTTTTCTGGAACGAAACGTCGTCCAGAAAATCTCGCAATTCTGCTCTGTAAAGCTTCAAAAATGTGGCATTGAGACAGTGTCTTTTTTTCCTACATATCTTTAAAGAGCGTCAGAAGAAAATGAAAATGGTCCCCATGATAGACATCTTCATCTTGGACAAAGTGTATGAAAAAGATATGATTTTTTTAAGCGCGCTCCTACATTACCTTCATATGAGTATCTTTAAATTATCCTGAACTTCGGTCAATATGTCCTTATTGGTAATTTTATAGTTATTTATACACCAAGGCAGTAAAGAATATCTGCGTTGCCCGATCAATAGTTTTCGCTCTACGGCCCACCAAAGTTGAGGGGTAGTTTGCACATGCCCCATTTGATACACTTCATCGTATACAGTGTGTCCAAGATACAGATGTCTATCATAGGGTGAAATTGATGTTGGTTTCTCTGGAACGAAACGTCGTCCAGAAAATCTCTCAATTCTGCTCTGTAAAGCTTCAAAAATGTGGCAATGAGACAGTGTCTTTTTTCCTACATATCGCTAAAGAGCGTCAGAAGAAAATGAAAATGGTCCCCATGATAGACATCTTCATCTTGGACAAAGTGTATAAAAAAGATATGATTTTTTTAAGCGCGCTCCTACATTACTTCCATCTGAGTATTTTTAAATTATCCTGAACTTCGGTCAATATGTCCTCATTACATTACATTACATTACATTACATTACCTTCATATGAGTATCTTCAAATTATCCTGAACTCCGGTCAATATGTCCTTATTG